GCGAGTCTGCAGGGTCCGCTTTGAGGCCCTCCCACGCGGGCGGCGCGCAGTCTCCGCCCCCGGCCTCCGCCCGCCACAGGCCCGCCCCACGCCCGCGCCACTCCCGCGACCTCTCCTCGGCCCGTCGCGTGCCAGGGAGCTTCCCTCCCCGCTAACTGGAACACGGGAGGCGGCCGCGGCGCACGAGTCCTGCCCCGTCCAGGGCAGCGGTTGCCGAACCCCGGTGAGGTGGGTTGCTGACCCCAGCGGAGCGCGGGCGCTCCGGCCGCTCGAGCACAGAGGGGGACCTTCTCAGGGACCTCGGCTGGTGGCTGTGTCCAGGCGCTTAGGAAAGCCTGCCTCCGTACAAACAGGAGAGGAGTTTAGACCCCGGGTTCTAGTTATGACTCTACAACCAAGTGATCTTAGACCAGTCCCAGCCTCGCCCAGCCCAGGTCTCCTCTTCTGTAAGTTTTCAAGTAGGAGTGGAGGGACTTGAGCAGATAATTTCAGCCATCCCTTAAAACCCTGAAATCGGTGGGCATGACCATGTCTACTGGTTTTAAAGAACAAGGGTGAAGTATGCACGTGTGTATTTGCGGGCTTACGTGTGTTGCATTGTTCCTATGTACAAAATATTTTATGAACAAAAAAGCAGAGTATTTGCCAACGCTAGGAAGAACTAAAATTCTGGGGAAAAGACTAAAACTGATTTATGAGCCAGTTCATTGCGGTCTTAATGACAATAGATGACCCTTACTGAGTGCTTAGGGCCTGTTTGGCCCTTTGCTTTCCATTTAATACTCATGTCCTTGGGAGCTCATTTTACCCCTGAGCAAAGTGGGACTCGCTTGTGATTTTGTCTCCTGATAAAATGCACACCACACACACAGGAGTCTTGCAATGCCTCGGTCTCCCTGTGGATGAGCTGGTCCTCCGGGGCATCTCAGGCATCGACTCCTGCCGGCGTCCATCACACAGTATCATTGCCAGGACCTGCCAGCCCTCCTGCATCTCAGCCTCAGTCATCCCCTTTCTGACCTCGACCCCTGGCTTTCTAGCTCACTTTCTCTAATGCCTCAACTCCTGCAATCCTCCACCCACCCTGGGACCTCCACTTTTTCTCTCTCCCTCCCTCTACCCCCAAACAAAGAAAATGCAATTTCGTCATCTATTGTTGATCTGATTTTCCCTTGAGCGTTCACTGGCTGGGGAGCAAGAGAAAATTAGCCTGAATAAAGCCTAGTCCAGTTGGAAGAATGGAACCATGCCTCTGTGTGGTGTTCCGTTCTGGATAGCATGCTTATCCCACAACCTCCTCTTCCTTCCCCGCTTTTCCCTAGGGGAGCCCAGGTGTTTGGGAGGAGAGGTCAGGGAGCTTGAAGGTCCTTATGAAATAAAACGGAGGGGGTCACCTCGCTTCGTGTGGGATCTTGGGGGCCCAGGGTTGGCATTTGCCACATTCCAGTTCGGTGCCCCCTTCTTGCCTGGCCACCAGGTGCTCTGCTAACCCCAGAGGAGAGGTCTGTGGTTAGTGAATTTGTGGTCCCTTTTTTTGACTCAAGGGATGCTCGCTGGAGTACCTGACACCTTCCCCTTGGCTCTCACGGCTGCAGTCCCTGAGGTTCTTCCCTTTTCTCCATTCTGCCCCAGAGCTTGGTCTACCCAACGTCTGCTGAAGGCTCCTTGCTCCTTTCCCCACCCACCATGGCGGCCCGCGCCATGCAGGCTCACAAGGGTTACTACACCGTCTCCTACTATTCTGTATACTTGTCCTCCATTCACACACTCCTCTTCTTTGTTGTATTCTCTCTACACTGCTTGTTACCAACTGCTCTACTATTTAATCTACTTAACTCTTTGTTTGTTATCTGCCCTGCCCCTTCCCCTACCGACATCCTGTGGTCCAGAAGGCTGGGCTGTGATCTGTTGTGTGCTGTGCTCTTTCCCTAGTGTCTGGATCAGTACCTGGTACAAAGTGAGAATTTAATAAATATTTGTTAACTCAGGGAACGGATAAGCTTCTGCAGAACCAGGTACCATTATTTTCTTTACAATTCCCAGTGACTGAGAACAGTACTTTGATTATAGTGGGTGTTCAGCAAGTGTTTGTTGATATTCAGGTTCCAGATAGGATACTGATATGGAGAGATGGGTTCGCCCCAGGCTTTTTCTACATCATGATGCTGCAACTCAAGCAGGACTTGGTCTGTCAGGCAGATCTGAATCCTTATTATAATGGCTTGGCGGTCCGTGTTTTAGGAAGAAATGGGATGAGCTATCTGGAGAATAACTAAATCTGCTTTCTACTTTGTATTTCTAAGGTTATCCACCAGCTTACTGACTTCATACTTCATCTGATGGGAGGAAGAGGATGTCGTCAGGGGTGTGGACACCTCTCCCCTCTCCCTTATGGGTGTGTCTGCGCCTGGTACTTGTGTGGGGTGAGAGCGAGGCCAGGTCTGGCCCTGCTATGGCTCTATGTCCCTGGAAGCAAGAGATTGGTATCATCCCTTGGCTGGAGGCCTCATAGGTTGGCTTTTTGGCGGGCTGGGATGTCCTGACTAAAAATAAAGCTAACGCTGGTAGTGTGCAAGGTGCTGTTCCAAGTATTTGCATATTTTAACTCATTTACTCTTCAATAACTGCATTATGAGGTGGGTCTTTTCAGTACACCCGTTTGGGTGTATTTTATTTTATTTTAAAGATTTTATTTATTTATTTGAGAGAGAGAGAATGAGAGAGAGCATGAGAGGGAAGAGGGTCAGAGGGAGAAGCAGACTCCCCGCTGAGCTGGGAGCCCGATGTGGGACTGGATCCCGCGACTCCAGGATCATGACCTGAGCCGAAGGCAGTCGCTTAACCGACTGAGGCCACCCAGGCGCCCCATTTTATTTTATTTTTAAAAGATTTTATCTTTAGGTAATCTCTACACCCAACGTGGTGTACTTACAGCCCCGCGATCAAGAGTCTCATGCTCCACCAACTGAGCCCGCCATGCGCCCCTCAGTATGTCCCTTTTCCAGGGGAGGAAAACAAAGCACAGAGAAGCTATCTCTGTAAGCGGAGTTACTGTTTCTCACGTCCGGGGGCCACGACCACTGTGCCCTATACACACCACAGCAATACCAGCCTTGGGAGTGGTTGGCATGTTCTGGATTCTGTTAGGAAAGTGTCTTTTAGCTCATATTCCAGATATGAGCTGGACAAATGGAAGGATACTGAAAGTTTTTTTTTTTTTTTTAAAGATTTTATTTATTTATTTGAGACAGAGAGAATGAGATAGAGAGAGCATGAGAGGGAGGAGGGTCAGAGGGAGAAGCAGACTCCCCACCGAGCAGGGAGCCCGATGTGGGACTCAATCCCGGGACTCCAGGATCATGACCTGAGCCGAAAGCAGTCGCTTAACCAACTGAGCCACCCAGGCGCCCAGGATACTGAAAGTTTTAAGGAGCATTAGGATACATCCATAACTTGCAATTTACCTGTTGACATTTGTAGAAACTCCACAGGTTTAATACTCGCTTCTCCACAGAAGAGCAGGATGGGAGGCAGAGGTTGAAAGCTGAATGCACACAGCAATTGACCCATGTTTCATAACGTTTTGCGTCAACATTATATAGTTGGGAAATTTCCCATGACGTTCCAGCTTTTCAGTTTGTCTTGCAAAATGGTAAGATCTGGCAGCTCTGGGCCCACATTCCCCAAAGGTGGTGGCAATCCAGGCTGAGCAGGGGCTGCTGTGTTTAGACAGACACCCACTCAGTGGGCACTCCACAGCCTTCATCCCTCACACGGTGGCTCTGTGGGCCCCACACCCAGCGCCTTCTTCACTTAAAGACCTGCTGGCTCCTATAGACCCCAGGTGCCAGGAAATGGCACCTTATTTAATAAAATACAGAGATGGCAGAGCTCCGCCCTGGAAGGGGTACGAACCCCTGGCAGAAAAGGCTGAGGGCTGGCTCTGGCTGGCCCTCATCTCCAGAACCTGACCACTACCTTGACCCCGGGCCTCAGGCTTTCCCAGATTTCTCTCTGCACAGCAGGGACATGGCAGGGCACATTCAGGCAAGACTCTGTGGGCTGCAGAGATTCCGGATATGCTGTGATTGTTGCCGAAGCAATTTTCTCTTGGTCCTAGTTTCTCCTAAGAGAGACAGGCTCCCCCTGGCAATGATTATCAAGGGTGTTGGTGGAGAGAGAGCAAGTTCCTGGGAAGGGTGGCCGGGAAAAGGGTGTAGGACCTGGGGAAATCCCTCCTGGAGATTCTGGTACCCCTTTCCCAGCCCCAGTGGATAGTCCCTGGTCAAGAATGACCGTCCCGGCTCCCATGGTCACCCTGGGCCCAGTTGGGCTCCCCCGGCCATGCTTTCTCTGCTGTGCTGTGGTCGCTGGCGTCTTCTGCACCATCAGCCACAGGAGCGCACTTAGAGAGCTAAGCCCCCCTGCTTGAAGTGTTGTACCACCCTCGAAGCTAAGGAGATGCTGAGACATAAGCTACACTTCTCTGGGCTCCTGTAATAGCAAAAATCTCAGCATGTTCATGACGATGAAAATAAAAAGGGAAAACTATGAATGTTGTTTATGATGCAGCTGGTCTGAATTGCAACATCTGGGAAGACCTGCAAATGCTACCTTAGAGTACTCTGCTCCTGCCTTCCCTTCTTCCAAGTTTTTCAGCACACTGTCTGTCCAGTCAGAATGCCCCACAATGGCCATGTCCATACAGTGAGGAAGACGTGTCTAAAGTAATAAGGAAAAATTTCTGGGCACCCTC